CAAGCCAAAGCCAGGCAGGAGAAAACCTGAGAGCTCCCATCTCACCTTCCACAGGCCAGCAAAAGGGACAGTAAATCCTGCTCCTGACGGCCTGAAACAGCACACAGAACTTCAAGCATTCCACCTCACAGAGGCTTATAAATATCTGCTAAGCACCTGAAGGGCATTTGGTGCTGCACTCTAACGGCCCTTGAAACTCTTCACCTGGAAGGAGGATTAGCTACAGGCCTCGAGTGAGTGTGGTAAGAGGGGTTTATTGTTATCGGGAGAAGAGGTAGACTGACAAATAATGCCAGCTGCACAACCTGGCACCTGCCAGCTATCAGGGAAGAGGACAAGAGGTAGAACAGAAAATAGACACAAAATAAAGGATGCAGCTACTGCAACACAAGTAGTCAAAGGAAGCTAATGGGCAATGATAAATTAACCTAAATTTTATGAAAATGAGAAAGAATACATTCATTTTCTTTGGCCCAGTTCTGCAAATCTTTTAAGCGTCTTTAGATGCTAAAACCATCAACCCCCTAGTTTTATTATCAATTTATGCAGCAACTAAGAGTCACGGGAGTCAAGGAATCATCCCCTTGCCACTGTGCAGGCAGATGCACCATTTGGAGAGCCCCACCTCCAGGATCACAAGGGACCATGTCACCTGCCAGTCACACCACACGAGCTGCCTCACAGCAGTCTCCTGCCAACAGCAGCCAGAGGGATCACACAGCGGCCTGTGTTTGGCCAGGGTTAAGGCTGAACTGCAGGAAGTAATATAAAATTAAATAGCCAATCAACACAATGCGCAATTTTCTGCAAGATAGCCAATGCTGGACCATAGGCGGTTGCATCTGCATAATTAAAACTGGTTCGTTTTGCTGCATTAAAGCCACAAATCAGGCACGTAACCATAATGAGGAAGATACATTTATTTAGATTTCTGGCCAGATAGAGCAAAAAAAGCCTGTACGTCTGAAAACACGCACTTTAAATTGTGCATCCAAGGATCTGCTGTGCTCTGTATTCCGCAGGCAGCTGTCATGTGGCAGTTGTAAATCTGCAGCCATATCTCCACTGGTGTTTATTTTTAACACCACCACTCCTGTCTGCAAGGCTAAGGCAAATAAGAAAACCTGCCTCCTAAAAGTATTCTTAAATATTTTCTTTCTGGTACCATGCAGCAAGCATCTCCTGCCAGTGCTGGGGCCAACTCTCCCCTCTCCGGACAGCTGGAGGGTGCAAAGCAGCAGCAGAAGCAAAGGACAGAGCCCGCGTAAGTGACGGGAGACACTGCACCGTGGGCAGGAGCCTGCCAGCGCTGCGTGCGTGCAGGAGGTGACAGAGGTCTCCATGCACGGGCAAACCCTCTGCAGAGCTGCAGGAGCTGCGCCGCAGCCGCCGCGGACAGCGGCATCACTGCTGGTGCTCCCACTCCCAGCAGCAGCGCGGCACCGAGCAGGGCCCCACACACCCTGCAGCCCTGGCAGCCCTGGCACCAGCCCCCAGAACAGCGTGTGCAGCAGGGCTCTCAGCAGACCCACATATCCCACCCAGAACAGCGTGTGCAGCAGGGCTCTCAGCAGACCCACATACCCCACATATCCCACCCAGAACAGCGTGTGCAGCAGGGCTCTCAGCAGACCCACATGCACCCCACATATCCCACCCAGAACAGCGTGTGCAGCAGGGCTCTCAGCAGACCCACACGCACTCCACACGCCCCCGCTATCTTTGCGAGCATTTCCAGGACAACTCCTTCCCACCGTGAGAGGAGCAGACACAATTCTCCAGGGAAGGAACAGAGCCATCATGGCCAATAAATCACCCTGCGCACGAAGATAATTGCCGGTTCAAGCCTCCCCCGTCCAATCTCACTCCCCACATGTGCGTGGGCTCCTCGATTGCTGGAGCCAAGGCTGCAGCACCCGCAGGTCGGGCAGCGCTGGGCTCCCACCCCGCACCACCCCAGCCCTGGCTCTAATTCCCAACAGCCAGAGCCAGAGGCTGCAGCCAAACTTCCCTGACAGCAGCCTCGGTAACTTTTCCCCCTCCGTGTCCTTCCAGGTGTCTCGGCAGCTCCTCTCTCCGGTTTTACGCACCTGAGGCACTGCTGGCAATCACTGCCTCACCCAGCGCTGCCTGGCACCTCACAACAGCAGCACCTGCCCGCTTCCAACCCTCTCTGTCCTCGTCTTCAGATGCATTCCCAGTGCAGCTTTGCTGGGGTTACCTCTTTTCCGTGCATGCTGCCATATGCCTGGAGCTCACACGCAGGGTTTGCCACCTTTCTCCCTCCCATTTTCCTGTCCATGCCGTGGGGACAAGCACTGTGCTGTGCTCAGATTCCAGGCCCATCCTCTGTAGCATGAGATCACTGCTTCAAATTTTCAGCTATTATCATCTTCATATTTCGGCATTTCTGTATCAACACTTTGGTTGTTAGTCCCCCTTGCCACCACTTCCCCTCTTTTTATCCCTCTTTCTCTTCCATTTTAGTCTTTCTCTGGAGGTCTGGGCATCTGTCTTCACGAGGGTAGAAAGGAATTAGATATGAATAACGTAATTACTCAATCCTTGAGGAAAATAAACAGGATATCTGGGATAATGAGGTAGTCTACATCCAACCCTTCAGTCAAGCCAGGAGAGACCACACTGTGCACAAGTGGAGGTGGGCGTTTGTGGTCACTGCCACAGCCTCAGAAGAGGTTTAGATGATCACAAACCCTGGTCCATGTCAGGCTGGCACGCTCAACTGAGCACAAAAACCCCTCTCCTTCTGCAGTGCATCCCTGGCCACCAGCCCTCCTTGGGTCCCTACAAACGCAGTGACAATGCTGTCCTACCTGCTCAGCCACATTTGCTCACATTGCCCCTACTTAGTGAGGAAGCACAGGCCACAGCAGAGCTCTGCACCAATCCTCCCAAACTCACACGGTTATCCTGCTCCAGCAGTTTAGCAAGGTGTGAAAACCAGGCCCAGGCTGGTCCCCACAGAGAGGTGACACAAGTGATGGCCACCCCGTCACAGCAGTGAGCACTGGAGCCCTGCCTGTCACCACGGCCACCCCAAGATGACCCTGGTGCTGTGACAGACCCAGCGTGCCCAGGGATGGATCCCATCTCCCCAAAGGCAGCACACTCTCCCCAGCCTCAGGCACACTCGCACCCTGTCAACACAAGAATTAGCCTTCATGCAGCTGACAACACAGACCAAGCACCCCGCATCAGGAATCAGACATTCCTGGAGGTGTAATTATGCACAGAACAGTACCAAGGAAATTACTGCTGGCCCATCAGCAAACTGCCTGCATTACAGCTGCCCAAAACGTGATCACTGTGGTGTAATGTAACACCCTCACACACGCCAGCATTAACTGCCTCACATATGGAAACCATGAGGCTACAGAAGCAAGGCCAAGAATGATCATGGCCTGTGAGTACTCCACGCACAAACAACAATCAGAAAAGCACTGGAGACATCCACAGCCAAGCTTTTGAACAGCTCAGAACCAGTCCTGCCCCCATGACCCCTCTGCACCCTGAGCACCCCAGAAGCAGGAATCACCCGGCCCAGGACATCTTTGAGAATAACGTGAAACCAAGGGACAGCCTCTAGGAACAAATGCAAATCCCCTCCCATAAAACGAACAATACCACAGACTAAAAGAATATTTCATCTGCTTAACTGCAGGGTGCAATAACATCAATTTGCCCAAATTACACACAAGCAGAAAGGTAATTGGCACAGAGCAGGGTGTGTTGTGACTGTTCCGTCACTCTCCGAGGCCAGCTACAAAAGACTGAAATTCACGAAAGTAAACAATGGCACGAAACCAACAGCCAGCCCCTTCCCCAGAATCCCTCCCTCTGGCATCGCGCTGCCGCAGTTGGGCAGAGACTTTTCCAAGCGGAGTCTGTGCAGCCCAGCCATCACCCAGCTGAGCTGGGATCTGGAGAAAAATGGCAGCTCTCGAGTTTGCACACGCACAAGTTAATCTGCAGAAAGGCTATTTCACACTTTTAATTAACCACGTCCTGGACTTAAATATAATGAAGTGGTGAACACATATCCATACAAAACAACTGAGCAAAGGGGTGTGGAGCTGGTTTTATATAATAGTGGGGGGACTGAAGGAGGCAATGCAAGCGAAAGGCATGAAGTAAGCAGCTGAGAGTATCCTCCGTCTGAAGGTGGGAAAAGGAACCGTCATCAACGAACAGAATTAGCAATTACCGCAATAAGGAGTTGATTTATTACCAAGTTACCCAGAAATGCCCATTACTACAGTTTGGTTCCAACGCGAAAACCCCTGGGTGTGCAACAGACAGAAGGTTACACTGGCTCATTTCCCTCTGCCTCCAAGGCGCTGAGCCCTTCCCCGGGCTGCAGAGCTGCCGTGTGTCACAGGGTACCAACTTTCCTTCGAAACAAGAATTAACTGGCAGCCTGGGATTTGCTGCTCAGCGGTCTCAACAGACAGACAAACCCTCCAGTTTTATTCCTCTCCAACACTCAGGAACGCAGCGACTGCCGCACAGCTCCGCACCACTACCGGCACTTGCATAATAATGACTGCGGGCCTGGAGGCGAGGGGCCGGAGCACGAAGGCGAACTTCCTTACATAAGGACCGCAGGATCGATGCCCTCCGCACCGGGAGGCCGCGGGCAGCGCTCCCGCCCGCACGGCCCGGGGCTCCCTGGGCCGCCGCTGGGCGCTGCCCGCGGAGGGCGGCCCCGGCCGGCGCCGCTTCGGGGCCGAGCGACCTCTGCCCATCCCCGCGCCCCGCACGCCGAGCGCCGCACGCCGATGGCAGCGCCCGCCGGGCAGGGCCGGGCCGGGCCGGGCCGGGGCTCCCGCCGGAGCCTCCGCGGCCCCGCGCCCGGCGCTGCCGCAGCGCGGGAGGGGCGGGGGGCGGCGGCGCAGCCCCGCGGCCGGAGCCGGCCCGTCCCCGCCCCGCCCCGCACACAAAGGCGGCCCCGCCGCGCCCGCACGGCCCGCGCTCCGCACCTTTGACCTGCGCCTCGTAGTCGGCGATGATCTCTTTGTCCTTCTTGAACTTGCCCTGCGCTGACATCGTGCGGGAGGGCGCGGGCCCCGCCGGCACCGCCGCGCTCCGCCGCCGCCTCACCCGGCCGCGGCCCCGCCGCCGCCAGCGGCCGCCGTCATTGGCGGCGCCGGGGACACCGCGGGGAGCCCGCGCAGCGCCGCCGGCTGCGGAGCGGGGCCGGGCACAGCCGAGCCGAGCCGAGCCGAGCCGAGCCGAGCGCAGCCGCTCCCGCCGCCGGCCGAGGCGGGGCCCTGGCGCCGCTCCTGCGCTCAGGTTGCGCGCGGGGCGGGCGCTCCGGAGCCCCTTCCCCGCCCCGGCCCCGCCCCGGCCCCGCCCCGGCCCCGCACGGCTCGGCCCGGCTCGGCCGCGCCCCCTGGGCCCCGCGGCGTGCGGAGCGCCCCGTGCCCGCCCCGCTGCGGGATGCGTGCCTCTCCCCGCTGCGGGATGTGTGTGTGCCTCTCCCCGCTGCGGGATGTGCGTGCCTCTCCCCGCTGCGGGATGTGTGCGTGCCTCTCCCCGCTGCGGGATGTGTGTGCCTCTCCCCGCTGCGGGATGTGTGTGTGCCTCTCCCCGCTGCGGGATGTGTGCCTCTCCCCGCTGCGGGATGTGTGTGCCTCTCCCCGCTGCGGGATGTGTGTGCCTCTCCCCGCTGCGGGATGCGTGTGTGCCTCTCCCCGCTGCGGGATGCGTGTGTGCCTCTCCCCGCCGCGGGATGTGTGCGTGCCTCTCCCCGCCGCGGGATGTGTGCGTGCCTCTCCCCGCGTGTCCCCGCCCGCAGCGGCCCCTCCGCAGCCCGGGGCTCCGGCACCGCCGGGCGCCGCTGGCACAGCGCGGGTGCCCTGGAGCAGATTTCTCGCCTCTTGTTAAAATTGAGGGAAAAAGGAGAAGGTGTTCGTTCCAGCAGAAGCAACATCAGTGATTAAGGTGCTGCATCAGGAGTCCTATCTGAGCGCTCGGCACCCGGTCCATGAGAGCTCACACCCTTGCCAGCGGCGGGTGCGCTGGCACACCCCAGCCCGCGGATAGCGATGCGCGGACTCAGCCTCCGCACATCCACAATCAGCTGAGTGGGTCCTCTGTCCGGCCCCGGCTCCGCTCCCATCGCTGCTCCACACAATGGGGTCTTTTATGGGTGTCTTGTGAGGAGTGAATTCAGGGAGATTTGATGATTCACAGTTACTCTGCCAACTTTAAAAAATAACCCCAGCCCATTACACAAATAATTTACCTAGTGCAAGCAGGCGGCACAGAGGAGCATTCTGCATCTCAGCGGCTGTGGAAGGCCCTGGGGAGGAGGGAGAAAAAGCGAGCCCTTCCAGGGAAAGGCAGCCACAGCAGAACGTGAGGCACAGGCTCGGGGCTGAGCAGCGTTATTCCAAATCCAGGGGGACCAAGGGGCTCAGAGCCTCAGGGAAAACAAAAACTGTGCTAGACCCCCCTGGGCACAGGGAGCACAGGCAAGGCACAGGGACAGGGGCTGCGAGCGTGGGTCAGTGTTTTGGGGCAGGGCAGGAGCAGCCAGGGAGCGTGTGCCAGTCCCTAGGGTGAGTTGCTGCATCCCCTGCCAAGAATCTGAGAAGGGGCTGGGCCGGGATGCTGTGTGACTGCCCTAAGCTGTACTTGCAGCAGGGCTGGAAAGGCAACACCAAGGAGAGTCAAGAGGTGTTAAAGAATGATCCTCCAGGAGCATCAGGTCTCGGGAGAGGGTGCCAACGGGGTGTGAAATGATTGCTGTACACCAATGGTGTGCCATCTCCCAAAGAAAGGAAAAGCCAATTCACACAATGACCAGAAAAGTCCAGCAGTGATGATGTTGTGTTCCTACACAGCCAAGAACACCCCGGAGGGTCCTGAGGGTTCTGAGCTCACTCTCCACAAAGAAAAAATAAAACAAACTAAGTAAGGAAAGAGAAGCACGGGCCATTTGAGAAAGGATTCATCTTAGCAGCAGTCACTTCTTCTTGCAACACCACAGGGATTCAGAGAGCAAGGACCAGCATTCCTGATAACCACCTGTGCCATAAGACAGATTTTGATTTTCTTGCCAAATTGGTTCAAACCTGTGAGGCCAGCTCTGTGGTCAAAGCTGAGTGTCTGAGAGTGTTAAGCATCTCTTCTCAGAGTGGTCCACAAAATAGTGGTGAAAGAAAAATCCCAGTCATTAAATGATCCAACAGTGCCAGGGGTTTCTGCTACTCAGAGATCATAAAGAATAAAGAAGCAGCGATGGCTGAAGAAAAATAATCCAATCATGAATTAATGATCTTTAATAAATATCAATGTCTAAGATACTTTGTGGAATTTCTACTTGAAACAGCTTCTTAAAGGAAGGATTACATTGTAATTCACTTTGTGACGTTCTCAACCCAGAATTTTTTAGTGAAGAATGGGATGGGATGGGATTTAATCATAATAAACACTTCAAGCTTGAGGTATAGAGAAACCAACAGTAGCTATGGCAACGTGGTCACTCCAGTAAGGCTAATGCAGATTATTTCCAGGGCAGTAGCCTTGTGTGTGCTCAGGAAGCAGAGGTAATGTTGGCTTAAAGCAATTCCTAAATTAAGGAAAAATTTTTAAGCAGAAGCTGTCTTGCACTCTTTGTTTTCAGCTTCAAACTGTAAGTGTTTCACAATGAGCTGAACGTACACAGCAGCCTCAGCAGAGTACTGACCTGCTGCTTCCAGAGACACTCAGGTATGTCACCATGAGCTGGGCAGACCCTCTGGCCATGGATCCACACACTGGTTTGTGTCAGAGGGGCCCTTGAGGCCCATCTCATTCCAGCCCCCCGCCATGGCAGGGACACCTTCCAGTGGACCAGGCTGCTCCAAGCACTGTCCAGCCTTGAACGCTCGCAGAGACGGAGCATCCATCACAGCCACTCTCACACCGGGGAAGCTTTGCCAGAGAAGGCTGGAGCCAGGCTGGAGGCCACACCAAGCCGCTGATGACATGGACACCAAGCTGCGTGATGAAACCCTCCCAGCCTTACACGAGTGCCGGAGCTGCTGCCAGTCACTCATCCCAGAGCGAGGCAGCTTGTGACAGGACCCCAACTCTCCCTTGGTCTTTCTGCCTTCCTGAGGTCTCTGAAAGGCAGAATCCCTTCTGCCATTCCTTGGGCTGAAGGAGCTGAGGGAGGGGGACGGCTTTGGCCATTGATATGTGGCTAAACCCTCTGCAGCCTCTCCGGGGAGCTGCTGTAAATCCCTGCTTGGTGATGGAAACTGTTCCAGGCCAGGCTCGAGGGTCCCAAGGAGGTGTGGGCTGTGCCTCAGGCTCCCGAGGCCTGCAGCACACCAGCCAGGCTGGGAGAGATTGCCACGCAGGAGAGCGCCCAGTGCAGCAGGGTCAGCGGGAATGAAACCCATGTGAGCCCTGCTGGCTGTGCCCTCTGTGGGGATGGCACGGCTCTGACACAGCGTGCTGCACTGCTGGGGAAAGGCTTCCATACACACCTCTCAGTGCAAGAGTAAACGGGCTGGAGACACGGAACACAGCAGCGGTTGGTGCTGCACTACACCGCCTTTGTTTTTTGAACCTTACATCTTCTTTCCTGCCAGCAAAGTGCTGCTACCTTGTCATATTAACAGAGAACTACTTCTCACTCTGTTCCCTTTTTTATCTCTGTAGTGAAGTGCAGTTGTAGCTTGGCACTGACAGAGCTTCATCAATGGGTCCTGCTTTCGCACCCAAAATAACTACAGCCAAAGATTTCTGTATGTGGAAATGCAGGTTGTTTTTCAGGTAAAGCATCTCAGAATTTTATTTTATTCAGTCTCCAACAGCTCAGTTGTAAGTAGAAAGGTATCTTCTGAAAACACACATGTAGTATCCTTGAGGCCATCAATATTCAGAGAAGAAAAAGAGCATTCTAAAATACACACCCATCTTGATCCCAGCCTTTTCCACTATTGCCCTCTTAAGCCCTTGTGGTACCAGGAGCATTCAGCTTTACGCTGGTCAATAATTCAAGCCCCTGTAAGAAATGGGAATATTTATGTGTGACTAAATGCATGAAGAATTATGATAAACAACTTGGCAAGGCAACAGCAATTCTTCCCAGCAGCTCTAGTTCTCTTGTAAAAGGCATTGGAGTCCCAAGCTGCTCAGGAGCTGTGGTAACTGCACAGGGCCGTGGTCACGCTGCACGGTGTTATCAGTGGTGAAAAGGCTCCTGCGAGCAGTTTCCTGCCAGATCTGTGGCCCCGTTTCCTCAGGGAGATTGCCCAGACTCTGTGGTCGAAGCTGCGCTTTCGTTTTCCTGCTGTGAGCAGCAGCTTCAGCTGGTGCTCGAGCAGCCACTGCTTTAGGGAGAGGGCACTCAGCATGCACGCCCAGGCTCTCCAGGAAGGACATGCCTGCTCAACGCTGGCACTCGTGTGCTGCTCTCCAAGGTGTGCGTCTGAAATCCCAGTGGCTGCTTAAGCCGTGTCCTTGGGGTGGCCTGCAGCCTGTGCCCTGTGCCACGTGTGCCCCCAAAGTGCTTTTGCACAGAGCTCTCCAGGAAAGGCAACAGGAGCTGTTTTCTCTGCTGGGCCATTTCCACAGCTTTGGTCTTGTGCTAAACCAGGGGGGCCCAGACTCTTCTTGGGCCCATCCCTGCCGTGCACACTGTGCTGAAGCTGAAGCTTCCAGAACCAGATTGTTAATTATACTCCCACTGATTCAGAGGAAAGCTAAATATGTCACAATTCATGTCCATCAGTCACCCCCCCCTTCTCCATTATTATTGTTCCTCTCTGCCTTCATTTTCCTCCATTTTCCCCCATCCTCTCCCTCCCCGGGGGTGAGGATACCCCAATTGCACTCCTGGGAGCTGCAGCTCCACCATCCAGCATGGTCCCACCATCTCCTCTTCCTCCATGCGGGCACAATTCTCTTCAAGGCTGGGTACAAACCTCTGCCATTTGGTGCGGTTGGGTTTGCAGTTTGGTTATGGCCCGACCCACGCTTTGCCCTCGCAGGATGGTGCTGCTGTCCCCTGGTTACGTGCTCCCAGGAGTTCATGCAGGGCCAGAAGCCGTCATGTTTGTGTCATCTCACACTAGCTCCACTATGCAGCAG